ACCCCCCGCCCCCGTCTCCCTACGACCCCACCTGCAGCCTTCCAGCAGGATCGGGCATGTCACCTTTGCTCCTTACCAGCGTTGGCTCCGGCTTCGATTCGGAAGCCTTGTTGTGGAAAGCCTTAGGCAGGACGGACGTTAATCCCGAAGATGCCGACCAGCAGGTGTGTTGTTGTTGTTGTTGTTGTTGTTGTTGTTGTTTTCGCGCTTGCTGTCGCTGTTATCGTCGGGGGTGTATGTTAACGTCAAGAGTCGTTTTGACCTCAAAACGGTAACAGCCCACGAGTCAAGGTAGCACCGACTATCCGTTGGACATAAGCTCTGCTGATGTACTGGTCGATTTTGTTTAGTGAAGTGCGTTGCTTTTCCACGATTCTGAACGGTGCCGTCCAATGTCAGAACAGTTACAGTTTCCTCATGTTTTGGTTGTTCGGGTTGTGGGTTGCGTCGAGTGCCGATCGAGCCGGTCGGTTGCGAGACGACTCTGCCGTCCGATGCCCTGTTTCCGTCCTCCTGGGGTCGTCATGGCTTCAGGGCCAGCAGTCCTGCACGGAGGAGGTCTGCGGACCCCCAAGGTTTTCGGCACTTGCATGGCCCGTGCAGTAGTAGGTCTGCCGGAGGAAATGCATCGGCTTTGCGTTTCATGTCGGCAAGAAGCCGCAACAACGGCAGCAACAGCAGTCGGCTGTCGTCCTGCTCCCGACACTCTCTCCGAGGCTACCGGCCACCACGCAGAACGCCTCCACTCGTGCTCGCTCCCGAAAACACGGAATAATTTCGCCAACAAACACAATGGATGATGTCCTTGCATTAGCGGCTACGGTATGAAGTGAGATTATATTCAAGAGAAAAAAAATATCGATTTGAACGGTTTGGAGAGGAAACCAAGAGAATACTGGCATGTCCCAAGCCGCTCTTAAACCGTCGCCACTGCTGCATTGATAATTTGGCACCGGCCTTCTCTTGATCATGTTTTACCGGCCGGTTCCCACCGTTTTCAGGAAGAGCAGCCGCTATTCAGGTGGCAAGGGCTTCGCGCCGCTCGCTTCGACCACGGGGGCACCCGCGCCGCGGCGGTCGTCTACCCACAGATCGGAGGGCTCGGCGAGGACCAGCGGTACATTCAGACGTGGGGTGCTCAGGTGACGGGAGGAGAGAACCGCATTTTCAAAGGATATTCAGCCAGTATTTTACGGTGTGTCGGTGACTCTTCCCATCTTTTACGCCCTCTGATTGGTCGAGCGTTGGTTCGGGCGGTCCATTCCGCCCTAGCGCCCTCTGCTCATTCCGCATTCCGACAACGCGACGCAGCCGCGTTTTTGCACAGTTCGCGGCCGCTAGGCCGGGATGGGTTGGGTTGGCCACGGTGTGTGACACATCCCATGTGAGGAACCTGGGTTCAACGTCCGGTTAGACCACTGACAGACGGTAAATAAGACCTCCGTTCAGGGTTGAATGTGAAAGAGACGGAGGGTTGGTAACCCTAACCCAAAACGGTAACCCCTACTATAATCAAGCTCAATATCATCGTGACTGGGAGGATCTGGGCAAGAAAACAGCTACAAGCCGTTGGTAAATGACGACGACGGCAAGAGCAATGGTACGACCACGCAGTGGCAACAACAAGGCCGCAATAAATAGAAACAATGACGAAAGTCGCATCTCCCTCCCACCCCGCACGCGTAGCGACAACAAGATTTGTACCCTCCCCCCTCCCATGTGACACCGGATCATTGCGTTGCCAGTATGTAAGAGTGCAGAAACCCGACGTACTCTGCCTTCGGACTACGGGAAGCACAGATCGGATGGCCGTTGTCCGATAAACCTGCACTTCCCCTGGCATGCAGCTTGTGTTATTTCGTCCTGTGTCTGCAGACAGCCTTGCGTGGGAGTTAAATCGCGTACCCGTCAGCTGTGAAGCAATCGAATCCTTGGTGCCGATATCCACTACCATTCATGAGGGTTGAGGTGTACGCAGAATGTGAAGGTGTCCATCTTGTCCACCCTCTATCGTACCTCCGCCGTCAACACCGATGGAACGATAGCGGCAGCACCAACGCAGCGATAGCGGTGACACCGCTGATGAAAAATTATGATGCTCATGTGACCGAAAACTCAACGATAGATTTAACACGGAACAACGATGGGTACCGACAGCAGTACCAATAAAACGACGGAACACCACAATCATGACCAATACCATGGGGTACTACAAAAGTGTACGGATCATGGCGTAGCAACGATAATGTCTCAAGGTGACGATGTTGTCACGGTGCTACCCAGAGACGAAAACAACACCAAGTAAACAGGTCCTGGTGACGATGTTATTATTGACAAGAGACAAACACGATAACAATAACGATTATCAAACAGGTCCTGGACGTGGAAACCGGCAGCGTGTTGGCGAGGCTCTGGGACGCGCGGTCGCGGCCCCTGTACCCGCTCCCGAACATCGGGTTCAACGCGACGGACGATCTAGTGGTCACCGACGGGGCTCTCTGGGACCCCAGGAGAGGGGTGAGTGACGTCACTGATATTGTGTCCGTCCCCCAAAACCGAGAATTAAAAAATGCCCGAATAAAAACAAAACACACCCAACACGCTCTAGTTTCGCTGCGGTGTCGCTGTTCCTTTCCCCCCCTTTAGGCTCGAATGTTTGATGTTTTTGCTGCGGTGTGGATTTGTCGGCGCCATAGTATTTTAGTACGTGGCTCGCCACATGCATAGTAGGTGGCCACCCAGAGATGACCGGCGTCATTGCGAACGTACTGATGGCGTTCTTCGCATGGGACTTTCTTTGTCACGCTTCCTTTTAGGGTTCTCCGACTTTGTCTTGTTAGAGTCGTTTGTCTTTGAGTAGCCTAAGTCTCGACTCCCCATGAATCGATCAATCGCTTCACCTTGCCAAGATGTGTAACTGGACACACGATGTTCCCCTCATAGTGGCCTCCTGAGGAAGATGCTCTCGACTACCGTCGCTGCGATGCTGTGCAAAGTTCCCACCTTCGATTACGGCACTTTGCTCGACATCATCGGGGGTTACGGGTGCCGAAGCCCCGTGGTTTTGGGTTCAGAAACCTCCTTGTTGCCTTTTGTTCCCGCGTTGTCTTGACTTGTTAGTAACCTGCATCCCGTTGAACTCCGTGCACTACCAACGTTGTTTTGACAGCGGGTCACCAACTGCTACTGCGCGAAGCAACTGTGACCGGCTGCTCCACATACACACAGACTTACACACACTTCCTCTCTCCCTCTAACAGCCCTTCATGAATTCTCTCCACGCCCTCCACGCCCACTGCGCCATCTCTTTGCCCACCGACACCAGCTCCGCGTGTATCAGTTCGACAAGCTCGGTGGCGGCGGGGGCTTCGGGTTGTTCCACCCCAACGGCAACGAGGTCGTGGTAGACGAAGGAGTTTGGGACCTGAGGACCCACCGCCTGCTCCGGACACTGCCCTGCCAGGACGGGACTGTCATGAAGCCGGACCCCGGGGGCGACGTATTATACACCTACAAGTACGTACAATTATAGAAACGACGACCCGTTCGAGAGAAAACCACAGTCGAAGGGGACGTGCCAATACTGTTCCTCCGGGTTGGCATTCAAACGCCGGCTACCGTTTTTTTTTTCGCCGTTTTTTTTTTTTGCGGTAGCCATGAATGGTGGTCGAGTAGATCATGTTGTGCGGGGTCGAGAACCCTCACTCTGCGCAAAGGGGACAATCGCACGTTGTGTTAAATTGGCCAAGCACCCTCTAGGCAGTTACACAGCGCATACAACTGTCTCTGGAATTGAAAGCACCAGACAATGAATTAAGTCGTACGCAGCTGTCATCCGTACGCAAGGAAGTAAGCACAAGATGCCGAACATCCTTAGCAGGATGCATGCAGCGCACCCTTCAGGCGACTCACCGAATACCTCAAGGCGCTTCGCGCTTGATGATGTGAGAGCCTGGTCCGGTGAGAGCCCGGCGTGCTCCGTCCCGGCTTTGCAGGGATGCGAGGTCAATGGTCCAACGACTACGGCATGCACGACTATGAGTAACCCTCCCCCCCTTCATCCTCAGCGTATTGCTCCGTCCCGGCATTGGAGGGATGCGAGGTCTTTTGTCTACGGACTACGGTATGCGTTCACAGGAGTACACCTCCCCCCCGACCGAAAACAATGCGCACACCCCCTTCATGCATGCCATCATCGCCGCCGCCATGTGACCACCTCTCCACTCACCAGACCAGCGCCGGCCGGAGACTTCTTCGACCTGCCGCAGAAGCGTGCAGCCCAAGACACGTGTTTCGGCGTGCTTGACTCGTCGACCTACGACCAGATCCACTCGCACGACACGGAGAAGGCCGTGATTCAGGTCAGCTATGATGTTCAGGTCTTGGGGTGTTGCGTGGTGGATAATACAGAGACGCCTGTTGTTTCCCACCACTGGCGACTTCCAACAGGAGAGAGAGGCAAGTAGTGAGGAATTCACTGCCGAGAGCAGTTTTTTGCGCTCTCAGATCCTACCCTGGTAACGTGATCACAGCACCTCGTCGACGCTCTCTTGGGAGGTGTTGCGTTCGTGGGCGGTGGCGGCGGCGGCGGCGTCGTTGTTGTACTTGTCGGTGTTTCCGTCGTTGGAATCGGTGTCATTCTTTTGGTAGTGGGTGTCGCCGCGTTTTTTTTCTCCCACCAGTTGATCCCGGAAGTTCACGCAGTAAATATATGCTGAGGTTAAAGGTTCTTCCGAACGTGTGTTTGGGTTCAGGAACGTACGTATCCAAGGTTTGTCACTTGCTGTTAGGACGCATGCTGCTCGGTCGACGGGGTCTGTTTCGTTGGCCCGACGTTTCATCGCAGCAAAGACGGTCGTGATCTTTGTCATCATCGTGACGATGTTCCACATCCTGCGGCAAGAGTCGTCGACTGCACCATCATCATCAGCAGCAGTAGCAGCCGCAGCAGAAGTAGCAGCAGCATCGACGACCCTTCACAGCAGTCGTCGGACGTAACGAAACCGTTCAACCTTCATTTGAGTCCAATGGCAACCAAGACCGCCTCATGCGAGTGTCAACATCTTTCGATACCCTGCTGACCCCCCACCCGCCCTTCTCTTCTCTGTGGTGGCGACATGTGGTGTATCGTTTTGTTCGTCTCATCCTGCCCAGCTATCGACGGATGATGGGGGCGGTGATGGCAGCTGCATCTCCGTTGTGGAACGGGCGGATCCGCTGCTCAACACCGTGGATACCGTGTGCTCGCTGTATGAGGTATAGAACGGACGAGCAGAGACGGGCGTGTGGATATGTAATTTCAGCCACTGCGCCGTTGGTGTGTTGTTGACATAGGGTCGCCGGACGTGACTGATGGCCTAGCGGTTGAACGTGTGGTCATAGCGCTGTTGACGTCGCGTCAGTGGCCACTCCTGGGGGTAGGATACAGCCATGATGACTGGGGGAAGCTTCGACAGCGGGGAGTTCGTCCACACGATCAATTCAATGAAACATGCGTCCCACACGCGCCGTGGAAGACCTTAACCTTACAGAGCATTCTCGCGAGACCGAAGAAATGGACACTGTCCATCGTGCCCTTGGCACAAATGCTTCTCCGCGTCGCGTTCTCGGCTGTCGATGCACCCTACAGACGACAGGATAGATGCTACGTTCAATATGAATATTGGTGTAGGGGTGTGCGGTCGGTTGGGCGTATCATGTGAATTAATTTTGGCATGTTTCCGGCAAGAAACACCAAGAGACAACTTTTTTTTCGTTGATCTGTTGCGGATTTTCGTGTAAGGCTCTTCGGGAAACATCCCCGAAGTGGCGTTTTCTGTGGATTGTTTTGGGGCTGAACCGTGTCGTTGGTTGAGCATCGAAAATGCATCGATGTACGTGTAAAAAGCACGATGTTGCGACCGCGCACTAACTAGCGACTCTCATGGCGTAGCACCGCACCATTCTGCACTACACGCACGCCTACCCGAACATGCATGGCAGCCGCCAACGCAGCCACGCCCGCACGCTTCCTGGCGCACACACCTACAGGGCTGTGACAGCACCAATCGTTTGTGCCTTTTCTGGACTCGAGTGCACCGCGTACTTCACACCAACACTGCTGACTACCGATGAAGTCTTCGCCGTGTGCGGTTCTCGCATTTTCTGACCTTTTCTTCTTCACGATGCTTCTTGTTGTTGCTCATTTCATGTGTATGGGAGACACCGCCTTATTGAGGCTGGCTCCGACTTGGCTGACAGCTAAAGAACTGCCCGTACATCGCCCCCGTACTTCGATTCGCTTGTATGTGTCACTTTCACTTTGCACCGACCGCGCAAACCTACTGTCAACGTTGGCGTCAGTCGTGAGCGTGTGCTTCATGTTTGAACATGCTGACCGAGCTACCAATGGACCCTCAGTAATATAGATCGATTTCAGAGTGGACTGCGCTTTTCCTCATTGTTTCGTGTTTCATTTTAGATCGGTCGAAAGCGCCCTGACGAAGCTGACTCCGACCTGGACGACGCCATGTCCGAAGACTCCGACGAAGAGTGGGAGGACGCGGACCACTCTGACGGGGTAAGCAGCGTGATCTGGGATTGCGGCGGCATACTGTAGGCCACGATGGCTTTTGGGTTTCAGGCTTTAGGCTTGATTCGTTTCGTTAGTCAAGCTGTTTTGCACTCTGGGGACTCTACAGCATTTGGGACGGGGGACACACACCAGTCCCTCCGATGGAGTCAAAATACCGTGGATGACACACAAGATATCCACCTCCTGGACCGATTTCAGAGCTCGACTGCTCTACGACGAAAATGATGCATGATTCAAAATATGTACTTTCGGAAAGCTCTCGGCGAGACGGTGCCAACGCCGCCATTTTCGGCACCGCCGCTCATTCTGCTGTGGAATAATGGAGCTTTGAAAATCAGCTCATGGGGTGTGATATACGTACGTTGGTGGTGGACGCCAGGGTTGGTTCCAACAGCGAGGTGGTGTTGAGAGTAATGGCCCCGGTACGGCAGAAGGTATGGGTGGCGATTTGGTGTAGGGTTAGCTCGAGTTGTGGCAGGTTGCTGATCACGCAGACCGGATGCATTAAGTTGTGTTGGATGCAAGGATTAAGGGCGGTGGATGACGGTACAACCGTACTTGGGCTTGAACGCCAGATTTTCGTCATGGAACAACACCGCTGGATTTTGTTTATGCCTTGGCCCACTCGACACAGATCCTGAAATTATGACAAAAGAATGCACCAAATGGTTGCCCCAGCGGCTATCGCGCAAGGCGCGCAATTTTCAGGGAGATAGCTCGACCTAAGCCGGTTCTTGAGCTCAATCGAGCACACGGCCGGTGGCTGACAACGCCTACCCTTTTCGTCATTCCTTTTTCTCTCGTGCACCCCGGAGTCTGTTGAAGTATTGACACTATTTCGTCACCGTCCCGCGTCTGTGGTCGTTTTGGGCCGCAGGGCGACGATCTTCTTGAGGACGGGCGTTCCCGATGGACCGCGCGCGGCGGCAGCTCGGGAGATAGCGATGACATCCTCGTGGACGGCGGAAGCAGTGGCAGTGATAGCGGTAGCGATGATGGTGCCGGCACCAGCAGCGGTAGTGAAAGCGATATCTTCCAGAGCTTACTTCGGAGACGAGGGGGTGGTGCCGTCTACGATGCTGCGAGTGCCAGCGGAAGCAGTTCGACGGATGATTGGTGAGTTCGATCGGAAAAACGCGAACATTCAGCTGAGAGCCCTGTTTTAGGTTACGGCCAATACGTGGCCCGATTTAGTTTCACAAGGTCACCCATAGTCGTCGGGCTTCGAGCGCGTTTGGGTGGAACTGCTGTTGAGAGTCAGGGTTAGTTTTTTTGTGGGTACTTGTATTGAGGGGTGTGCCAATGGCCTTCTTGAGGGGTGTGCCAACGGCCGCATCCTCCCAGGCCATGTTTTTGGATTTGCAAGCCAGGAAGTTACACTTGAAAGTTGTTTTTCTCTTTTCCGCCGCAGATGACACACACGATAACGTCCTTGAATACCAACAACAGGCTCGCTAGGCGGCGGGAAAATAGGCGGCGGATAGCACGGCGACGAGGTGAAGTTTCATCAACGGACGACTCGAACGAAGACGACGATTCGGATGAGGAAGTGGAGGACGGTGACGACGAAGAGGAGACAGAGAACTGACGAGACCAGTGGGTTTGACGGTAGAGAAATGGGGCGGTTCGGAAAAAACCACTTCTCCCGAGCCCCGGAACGAAGTCAGCGAGTCTTCTGGTGCTCCAGGGGGAAGGGACAAAGCCAGACGATACGGAGGTCGACAGAAATCTCTTGGTAAATCGTTTCTAGCTGGTGTCGCCACCACTGCTAACCGACAGGAACGGAGTGAGTGACCCGTAGTTGTGTAGGATTTGCCACGACAACAGGTGGGAATCGCACATGGAGAACGGGTGCACAGGAACGCAAGGCCGATGTGAGGGTCGCGTGGGCATGACTTCGCGTGGTAGACAACCCACCATGCGGCCAGACGCGGTGTGATAACGACAGACAGGTTTGCATCCCAGTCCGCCCGGGAGGCGGTTCTCCATCCTGCGGGGCCACAGGTTGTTTCAAGGTTTCTTCTTCCAACCGTTGTTGCCAGACGAATGCGCTGCTTTGTTGTGACGTCTTGTTCGGTGTTCGGTGATTTGTGTATGTTTCTCCACCCAAGCTGCTGTTTGGCCTCATTGCCTTCTCTCAAAAGTGAGGGAGGCCAAGACATACCCAACGCGATGGTGCCTTCTGAGCGCCTTAGGGCGGTGGTCCCGCACGACTTCCATTCCGTGGATCCCCCATGGCATCCACCCGGTTCCCTTGAACTCTGTTCCGGAGATGGCGACCGCTCTACACGGCGGTGCTTGGATGGTATGTTGCAGCGTGCGTGATCGCGATGTATAGTCCAAAGTTTTGTTTCGGCTCCCGCGGGGTTTGTCTGCGTATATGTTCGCATAAAAAACTCGTGTCATAGTGCACCTCTGTACGATCGAGACGCGGTCCTTTGTTCGCCACCCTGAGCGGGCGGCCGTTGCATTGCTGTCTACCGGTCGAAGATGCCGAAAGCTCGTCGGTGTTTGGCTTCTTGCGAGGATTCTGTTGACCGTGGATATATATCTTTATTCTTGCGTCGGGGTCCCTCCGTGGACAACGTTCGTTGAGGAGTCCCAAGGTCGTGGTAGGTGTAGATAGATAGGTCGGAAAGGCAGGTCCTCTTCCATGAGACATACGCAAAGGTAGCCCAGCAACCAAAGAGTCGGCCTAAGGCAGCCCCCAAAGACGGCGCACTTGCCCATGCCAAAAGTGGCGTGTCGAAGAGTCAGGGTTACATATTGATCAGTGGTCTCCGAAGCCGCAGCCAAACTCCTTTCTATAGCAATCCCCGGCTTAGGGACGCGTGCGTGTAGTTGTCCCGAAAGCAATAAATTGCAGCAACCACACGAACTGGTCAATTGACTGACCGACATGGTTACCAAAGATGAGCCGCTGAAGCGTTGTTCATTCACCACAGGACTTGGTCACCTGGCGGGTTGAAGGTCTTGTCGAAAGTGAGGCTCTTCATCTCGCCGGGCCATATATATATATGCTTCGTCTAAGGCGAGAAGAGTTCCACGCTCAACACGTACGAACCCCCGATGCACCGGGGCGTCGAACCCACCAACTCCTACGTCACCTCGTACGCCGTAAAGGCAGGCACCCATGTTGCCATGGGGCTTCTGTGCCACGCCCCCTGCGCCTCGGTGGCAGCATCATCGGTACGCATACATCTAAGAGAGCCTGACTGGTGGGCGTTTTCACCTGTCCGCCGCCAAGTGCAAAGTGGACGTGCTTCGGCATGCCAGACAGAGGAGGTGCAACGATGACACCTGAAATCGTCGTGGTGTACAATTTCTTCACGTCGCACGCCTAGTTGAAGGCGATGATCACAACGACCACACAGGCTCTCCTACAAGCAACGAGACGGCGACATGCAACGTGAGCCGACAACAGTTGTCGATATTCATGAGTAGCCCGCTGTCATTTTAGCAACAGTTTGCCTCATGGTCGATCCCTGAAACGGGTTTGGCTTGCGAGGAGCATGTTCGAGGTGTACTTGTAGTCTAGATGCCTACTGTGGACTGGGTGCCTTGGAGCGCTGCCTCACCGCACCCCTTGACCCGGTAGCTGAGGTTTCACGTACTACACTACGGACGGTGTAGACTACACTGCAACTTCTACACTGACTTAAAAAACATGTTTGTCTTGACAGCAAAAAGTATGCACGTCCTCGCCTGGTCGGGCCTCCTGCTCCGTCTGATATGCTCCTGTACACAACTAAAGTGGAAATAGTCATGAACCCAATAGTGCACAATTTGAAAAATATCTCCACTGGACACACGATCCACAGCACCATCTATATACCATACGAAAGCTGTGATCAAGAGCTTTCGAATGAACCTATACGTTTACGACGTAAAAATAAAACGGGTCCGAGTTATGCCAAATCGAAATTAAATTCTTGAAAAATCACAAAAAAATTGGTACAAAACTAGGCAGAAGGGCACGAACAAAAAATAATAACATTTTTTTAATGCATTTTTGGAATCCCCAATAAAAACGGGTTTTNAAATTCTTGAAAAATCACAAAAATACTACAAAACTACAAGTGGGCAGAAGGGCACGAACAAAAAAAATAACACTTTTTTTTTTCATTTTTGGAATCCCCGAGAAAAACGGGTTCAAAAAACGTTTGGTCCGAACCTGCAGTCGTGTGTCTTGCGTGGGAATTTTTCAAAGTTNAATGGTGATGAGATAGACAACCCCGTTCGCGTTACCCAAGAACAGTGTGGGGAATCAGCACACTTTCTGGATATGCAAATAGGGCAAGACATTCCTGGTAAGACTTGTATCGGTATGTATAATAAGCGCCAACATATGGCTACGCTGAAGCAATATCGGGCATTCCCACATTGGGAAACAGTGTTATCTACTAGGTGTAAGATGTCGACGTTACACTGTCAAATGTGCCGATTTGCTATTAGATGTACTGACATTCGATTTTTCCAAGCTGCCACAGCCAGATTGATAGCTGACATGCTTGCACGTTTCTATTCTATCTAGTCGACTTATACGTGATACTTTACACAATTTCATGTATACCTTTTTTCGTACCTCGCCAGTGACTGCAAACATCGTGGGTGTAAATGCACCTATGGTGCGGAATTCATACTGGAAGAAAGTGGAGTTGGGTATTTGGAATCGAGTAGATACGAATGAATTTTTGGTAGATTAGCCTGCGTGCGATTATCTTTTCCTTTATTGG